CCCCATGTCATGTAACTCATGGGGCATGTTTAACCACGCTTCGCCATACTGGTCAGTGCGGGTTGGGTATCACTCGCCACTTATGATAGCTGTGGCTGGGAATTTAAGCAAGGTTGCCAGGTTCATAGTGCATTGTGCTAACCACTGCACCACTGGTCCACCATTGTATGTGTAAACAAGAGTAGATTTACTCTCCAACACACCCGTGTGCTGTACTAGTAACGAATTGGCATGTTCTGTTTACGTGACAAACCTTACTAATTGGCTGTGTCGGGTGGTGGCGGGTTTAACGACATGTTTATATTTACGCGATCTAACCCAAAAAAACCTCTATGGATAATATTGGTCGCGAAAGCCTACGTGTTAAAGAGTAGAAATATTGTTTCAATTTACAGATGCACCGACTCCGATTTAAATGCATGCAATTTATGAAATTACGAGTAAATAAAACAAATGTAAGTTTTAAAATATGACTTACAGTTTAAGATTTGAGTTACATTTATGGAAACATTTTCTAAAACATTTGGGCCAATTTGAGTGCACACAACATATCAACAAAGTACACATCCAGGACACATGCGTTGCAGTCAATGTATACAAATAAAACCCAGTATAGATCACCGATGTTGTTCAATATTTTTTTTTTGAAAACAGCAATTGGGTTGCTGTACAAATGTCAAAGTCGTAATATTGACAATAACTTAAGCATGTGGTGGGTATAGGTGAAGGAGGGACTAGCATGACTCATGAGAACTCTTATCTCAATGTTTTGGCTTATCTCCTACTTACCAAGGGTCAACAGTGTTAAGTGATGCAGAGCAGTGAATTGCCTAAAACAGGGGTCCTCAAACTACGGCCCGCGGGCCACATGCGGCCCGCCGAGGACATTTATCCGACCCGCCGGGTGTTTTTGCCGCCGCTGCCTGTCTGTTACTTTTTTTCTACATGAGAAGGACGGTCATTGGTGGAAGAGGGAGAGGGGGCGGAGTTCCCCCCAATCAGACTGCATTGATGGGCAGTGCAGTCTGTATGTCTCTGTGTGGGCAAAGTTATTGCTGGTATATTGTTTTTGTAGCGCTGTATATATATTGGTATTTTACTAATATCAATTTTGACTCCCTAGGAAACAATGATGTCAAGAAAGAGAAAAATTTACTCGGAGTGTAGGATATTCAAAGAACAGTGGACTTATGATTACTTTTTCATGCAGTACAAGGAAAGAGCTGTGTGTCTAATATGCCAGAATATAGTGTCTGTGTTCAAAGAATACAATTTACGTCGACACTATGAAACTCAACATAAAGATAAATATGATTGTTTGGTCGGAGAAGTGAGAAAAGATAAAATATTAAAACTGAAAAATACATTAACAACTCAGCAAAATACTTTTGTGAAGCAGAAGAAGCTAATAGCGTGCACTGGCAGACCATTCGTGGAGGGAGAATTTGTTAAAGAATGCCTTCTTTCTGTTGCCAAAGAGATGTGTCCAGAGAAGGCCGATTTATTTAGTACAGTGAGTCTTTCAGGACCTACAATTACACGGAGTATTGAAGAAATGGGAGACAATTTGCATCAGCATTTGCAAAACTCCACAAAAAAACTTTCCTATTTTTCCTTGGCACTCGACGAAAGCAATGATGTTCGTGATTCTGCACAACTTCTAATTTTTATTCGTGGGACAAATGACTATTTCGAAGTCACAGAAGAGCTTGCTGCACTGCAACGCATCAAAGGAACAACTACAGGAGAGGATATCTTTCGATTTAAAGCTTTCGTGACTGCAGGGATTAATCTTCTTGGTTCTTTCGGTAAAGTCACATAGAAGGGAAGTAATAAAATAATAAAAGTAAAACATAATAAAATAATTCTCACGACGTTTCGGCCACAACGCAAGCAGCCGTCCTCAGGTGAAAACCAGGTCTGTTGGGGAGACAGCGTCTGAATGAAACAGCACACGAGCTTGGAGCATATATAAGCTGGGTTGGAAACGGGGGAAAGAGTGCCTTGACAAAATAATTTAATAATAGTACTACATATGCAGCACGGGCATATGTAGTACTAATCACATTCCTGCATTTCCCATAAATATGCAAAATTCCTCTTGATATGCAAATTCTTTTGTCAGGGCGCTCTTTCCCCCGTTTCCAACCCAGCTTATATATGTTCCAAGCTCGTGTGCTGTTTCATTCAGACGCTGTCTCCCCAACAGACCTGGTTTTCACCTGAGGACGGCTGCTTGCGTTGTGGCCGAAACGTCGTGAGAATTATTTTATTATATTTTATTTTTATTATTTTATTACTTCCCTTCTACGTGATTTTACCGAAAGAACCAAGAAGAGAGGATATCTATGAAAAGGTTTGCCAAACTGTGAATGGTTTGGAGCTGAACTGGGCTAAACTAGCCAGTGTGACAACTGATGGTGCTCCTAGCATGGTGGGGTCTAAGAAAGGAGTAATTGCTCGCATTAACCAAGAGATGGACAAACATAACCATTCTCATCCAATAGCCATACACTGCCTCATCCACCAACAACCGCTGTGTAGTAAATCACTGAAGTGGGACTCTGTTATGAAATTTGTGGTATCTTGTGTTGACTTCATTAGAGGTCATGCACTAAACCACAGACAATTTCAGGAATTTCTGTCTGAGCTAAATGTTGACTATGAAGATGTTCTGTATCACACAGAAGTCCGTTGGCTGAGTCGAGGGAGAGTTTTAAAACGTTTCTATGACTTACTTCCACAGATTACAGCTTTTCTGCTTTAAAAAAACAAAGAAGTACCAGAGCTCAATGATGCAGAATGGAAATGGCACCTTGCCTTTCTGACAGATGTAACAGAGCTACTCAACAGTTTCAATGTGCACCTTCAAGGAAAGGGGAAGCTCATCTGTGATATGCAATCACATGTCAAAGCATTTGAAGTAAAATTAGGCCTCCTCATCAAACAAGTGAAGGAGGAAAACTTCTGCCATCTCCCCACAACTAAAAATCTGTTAGCGGAAAAACCATTGGTTGCATTCCCAAACAAAACATGTGCGGATTCACTGGAAAAATTGCAAAAGAAGTTCCAAATTAGATTTAAAGAGCTTCATCTCCATGAACAGGACATACAGCTTTTCCGTAACCCATTTTCTATTGACATTGAAAATGTGGATACAATTTACCAAATGGAACTGGCTGAACTGCAGAATTTTGACTCTCTGAAAGACGCATTCAAGTCAAGCAGCCTTCATAATTTCTATGCATCTCTCCCCTCTGAGACATATCCTCATCTCAGGAACCATGCACTCAAAATGGCAACCATCTTTGGCAGCACTTATGTCTGTGAACAGACTTTTTCCAGAATGAAACATTTGAAATCTCCAACCAGATTTAGACTAACGGATGCACACTTGCATCACTTGTTACGACTAGCAGTGACAAATATGGAACCGGACATTGACCATCTCATTAGCCAAAAGCAGGCCCATAGTTCCCATTGAAATACTGGCAAGTTTGTTGATTTAACTTTACTGGAAAGTTTGTTGATTTAACTTTACTTGTTTTTCATTTTAAATATTGTATTTGTTCTCGTTTTGTTTCTTCACTTCAAAATAAGATATATGCAGTGTGCATAGGAATTTGTTCATAGTTTTTTTTTTAACTATAGTCCGGCCCTCCAACGGTCTGAGGGACAGTGAACTGGCCCCCTGTTTAAAAAGTTTGAGGACCCCTGGCCTAAAAAGCCCCGCTCGCTTATGGCAGCTACTGCATTACAATTATGTTTTGCGGAATCAATAACGTGGTTCATGATTTCAAGGTTGCAAGAGTCGATTTAGCATGCGCACCTAGTTTTTTTTTTAAATTACAGATATCGTTCAATAAGCACTCCACAGCATCTTTGTAACACGTCAACAATATTTTCCATGCATGTAACTGCTTATGAATGCCCGTTTGAACCGCAGTGAATTTGAGAGCGATACAACACAATTGCAATAAACTTGATTGAGCATCTGATGAGACACAGTACAGGGGCAATTACGTTTTGTGAGTTAATGCTGACGATGGTCACGAACGCCGGAATGGCAACCAAATAACGCGACACACACCCGAGCGGAATTCCACCACGTAGATGGAGCGATAAAATCAACTTGTGTGTGTGTGTGCAGGTCCAAGATGGATTGTTACACGGCAAGATCGTGAGAGATGGCTATGGGTTGGAGAGGCCTTCAAACCCGTAGTTGATTTATCAGGGCTGAAGACCATACATGAACATTATTGCATATGATGATAATGCGTGACGCGTGCGTTTGAAGTCCTGAATTATTTACCTTAGCCAGACAACATTGGCCGCAACAATTACTCTATCACTGATCTTGATCACATGCTCGAGTTTAGTTCATATAGATATATTTTTTCACGCTGCACGTGTTAAACTGGACCATTATGCTGCATGTGCTGTATCTATATACGATAAGGGCGCTCTATTGTACTGTACTTCTACGATCACCCGCCTATGATCCCCGACTTCACCAAAACCGCACTGACTCGCATGGCGAGATGTATGGCCAAGCAACCTTGACGACTCGCACGGCGTGGAAAGGCCCTCTCATCCAACAGGGGATTAACATAAATTGCTGCACATGTGTATGTATAGATTTAGTACGGTCACGAATGAGAGTAGCCATGCGGTCCTGATTCTGACCTGTCAGCCTGTCGTATCTCACTTGTTTAGAATATACATAACATCTCAATAATAAATGAATAGTAAACATCAATGCGCTGTACATGATTACAGTACCAGATCTGTGCACGTACACACTTTCACCGTATACATCAAATGTCAGGAAGATAAGCGGTACAGTTCGTTTACAATGTGCCACTGGGTCGTGAGCTCCTATAAAGTAATTCGAGGTATTTGGCTTGGATCAGAGACGTTCAGAGTGGGGGTGGCAGCGGGAGTGGGGCGGGCATGTGTCACGTTTCACCTGAGGTGGATGGATCGAGATTGTTGGAGGGGCTCACTGCCGCCGTGGTTTGTGTTCGCTATAAAACGCACCTTCTTGAGAGGCTTGCCTGGTCAAGTGTTTTGTCCAGCAGGTGGGCTGGCTGGCTGGCTGACCTGCGCACAACCGGATCGCATCACCAACCATCTCCCACCGCACGGGAACAACAGCGCCCGTGATAAACTCAGAGAGAGAGAGAGGTACGTGCTTGCTGGCGATTGCAGGTAATATCGTTATTTTAGTACGCGCCGTGAAGTTCTTGGAGACGCTCTGAAAAATATAATGCGAGGGAGGGGAAGTTTAAAGATGAGATCTTCAATGCTGATATTGCTTGTGAATGAAATCGTGCTGTATTGGTTGGCGTGCGCTGTGCTATGAACCCAGAGAACGGAATTCAATTCCCAGCCATGGTTTAACGACACGAGTGGCGGGTTATATCTGAACTGATGTTCGGGTCTACACAACTTCCACGTGCCACTTCACCAACTCACACTGACCAGCGTGGTGAAGTATGGTTAAACGAAAAAAACTTACTGACATGACATGGAAGAGTGCTTCATCCAGCAGTGGCTTTACATAAAGTATAGCAAACATTTCAAGTTGACATTGACAGTGTGTATCGTGCGTTGAGTTATAGCGTGCGTATCGAAAAGTGCCATTACATTGAGAGACTAAACAGCCGGGGGTAACACAGCCCCATTTCCAGAGCTCCAACGGGGTTTGTGCAAAGCCCCTTCTTTCCTCCTTCAGTTTGGCTATGAAGGAAATCATGTTGAAGCGCGTCCAAGACCGCTTTATGTGTCTCGGGACCTTGGCAATAGATCCGACGCAGTTGGATTCTGCACGTATCACAAAGTTTTTATTGTCAGAGTACTCGCTCACACGTTCTTGAGGTCGCATCATAACGTGAATAGGTGATGATGGGTGATTGAGTTTTATATTGATTGTGTTGCAACCTTTGTCAATGCATCGGCACTGTTTATATCGCTGGATCGTTAGAGATGGTGGTGGTTTCGCCAGGTCTTCGTCCAACATTGGATTGAGCATGGCTGCTGCTGATGATGATGATGAGGACAATAATTGATAGCCTTGAAAAATAACAGCCTTCTGTTAGGTCTGCCGTGGGTTTAATTGCGATAAACAATGCGTGTTATAACGTTGTCGCTTTTTATATTATTAAACAGTTTGAGGTGAGATTTTTTTGCAATGTAAATCGAAGATATGTTCAACTATACGAGGGGACAATAATTGTATTACATAATGTTTTAAGACATTGCGTTTCACTGCCCAAACGAACGTCGCGTGGCGTCTCTCTATCGTTTGCAGCACTGAGCCAGTGGTGGTAATTCCTCATGTTCATGGCAGTGTCGAGTCCATTCATCGTATGACCACTGTTGACATTCTACAAAGTGGAATGCCTTCTTATAGTATCGGTCTCCAACAGGATGGAGAATTGATTGGGGTCAGAGCCGAGTTTTGAACTCTCAATTGGCTCAGCTGTACATCCACTGCTGGGGGGGGGGGGATTTCACCATACTTCAGTAGTATGGGATTTCACCATACTTCAGTACGGGTTGGTGACACTAATGTTAGCAGAGGGCGGTGATCAAACTCAGGTAGCGGCGTTCATAACGCAGGGTGCAAACCACTGCGCCATCATTCCATCCCATAGTTGTACAGTGTTTATGTGCTATGAAGAAGGGCCATTGCTTGAAACGTCACCTGTTATGCTTTTCCTTTTAATGCAGCGTTATTGACGATCGTGTTGAGTTTGTTGATATTTGTGACCCAGTGGTTCGTACGTGCACGGTGCTAGTGCAGAAATACAATTAAGGCATTGTTTTAGAAGCGGGCTCAGGAGGCGCATTCTCTGTGTTAATGGTAACACTCAGCCGTTTAAAAATAGCCGGCGAGGCTGTTGTAGCGGTGGCTTTCTACCACACAACAAAGGCCACGGTGGAATGCACTTCACTTTGCGCCCAGCTCTTGGCGAACCACGAGGCCAGCGTTGATAGCCTTCTCACCCATCTGTCTGTCCCCCAGAGAGGTGCAACCAATTGAACGAATAACTTAGAAGAAGAACAATCAAGCATCTGATCAGATGTCTGTACAAATTAATAATAACCAATTTAGGGGTTCGTCAACCTTCTTTTTAAATTTACAAGTTATATGTTTTAACTCCAGCAATGAGTTCCTGATGTTCATCAGTATGAAAAAGTACCCTCCGTCCGAGATGAGCTTTTGTGGGGACAGTCCATATCGAGTGGAGTGGGAGAGGGGGGACGCGGTGGGCAAATGAGTCTTGTACGCAGCTCAATTTTCTAATTGGCCAGTTTAACACGTAGGCATTGACGACCAATATTATCCAGAAGTGAAGTTTTTAATTGGTCTTCTGACTTTTCACCAAAATATAGTTTTGGCTAAACATATGTCTGAGCCGTGGCATTGATATCCATCTCACGTGTGAAGGATGTGAAAATTGCGCTGGGGTCCGTCCACGCGACCATGGGGCCCCAATCGCCGTACGACCAACAATGAGGGGTGGGAATTGAACAGCCCTCTCCCGATTTAAATTCTAAGTACCAGGGTCCTTGACAACTTACGCTAACTTTATATTCCAGAGCCGTTCGTTACAGGCTATAGAATCATGATGTAATCGCGGAATTATTTCGCAACTTCTGGGGTAGAAAAAGTTGGAACTCAAATCAAAGACAAAAATGTGAAAAATACGCGAAAGCCGCCTAGCCGACTGCTAAGTTGTGCTTCGTGTGAGTTTGTTGGTCAGCTGATCATGGCTTACCGCTCTATTGTATAACACGTGTTATGCCTATCTTCGTGGATAAAAACAATGTATAGAGAATAAACAGACAAGAATCGGTTTACATTAATAAATATAAAGCAATTTATTCCATTAGTGTTTGGCGCCTTATTGAGCAATGTTTATTTGGAAACCACACTGCGGTAATGGGACGCAGGCCGATTGAGTAAGCGATTTCCGCTCGCATTGTTCGTACCGAAAGCAAACTTCCAAGTTATGCTTGTCCATAATATCCTTATTTGCATGTTATTTTATTAATATGCAAATTATTCCAGAAGTTTCCGTGATCGAATTTTGGACAATGCGACCATTTTAATCGGAGCCCATTTAGAACCCTTTGTGTATAGATGCATACAAATTTGCATAAAGTGTAAATTACATGTGAATTATTGTCGTTTAGATTAGTGGTATGCTATATGTTCTGTGGGCAGCTCATGGGTACTGATGTAATTAATGCTTTACAATGTGCCTAGTTATGATACCGGAACGCCTGCTTCGTATTCTACTGTATTACTAATGATTATTTTTCATTTAAAAAAATACAACATTCGTTGGTAAACGATTACAGCTCCCATAGTGTGAATATGAAAACAACATACATATAAGGGGCATTGGCACGAGCCATCGGGTACATGGGCGCCAGCAAAGCGCCTGGCCAATGCAGCAAATGCAAGTTGAGACATGTAAAAGGATAATGAGTTAAAGCCGACTTCCAGCTGAATGCCAAGATACTTGATTTAATTAGCGCTGCTGGTGGCGGTAACCCGACCACACAAGTCATGTCTCGGTGAAAGTGGCCTCGCAATTAATTGTCTAGCAGAGCAACAGCGGCGCGAGCGAAAGAAGGGACAAACGCACCACAACACATTTCACCCGATCCAGAGTGTGGAGCCATGCAGACCAGCAGCTACAATTATCGTTCGTACATTGTGTTCTAATAGTATCCATTTGTTCTTTGGAGTTGTTGTGTGGGTTTTAATTGATGCCTGTTCGCTACGAATAAAAAAAACATTCAATTTACAGTTCGGAAAAATCTCGTAAAAGTTATGTTTCATAATGTTGTTACTTACTCACCATCATTCTCTAAACAAAAAATACAACCCTGTGACATGGCATTGCCCTCGTGGACTTTGGAGGCTTATTTACATATAGAGAGTTTCCACAATGTTGATAAAATGTTGGTTTTATTGTACGATGGTAGCTATAAACTCAACATATTGTTGATAATATTATTTTATTTACGTGAAAATGCAATAATCACTAATGTTAGTGAAACCCGTACATCAGTCCCTTTACCCACACCCTCGGCCTCTCCTACAATCAACACTAATTTTACTGATCATAATGAAAGTGTAAGCATACTGAAGCACGTGTCATACCGATGTAGAGTCGATTAAAACGACATGTCCAGCATATATGGACTCAGGACTGTTTAAAAAAATAAAGCGATAAAGTGGTACAACCTATGTATTTAGGTGTAAGACGACAATATACATGAAGGTTTAGCAGGATATACCCACGCACTTGTAAGCACGTGTTATTATGCACACACATCTCTAGTGCCTTGTAGTCCAATCAAATATTTCCATACCAATTGCACACAATTCTCAAAAATGGCCGTGTTGATGTGTCGTTAAGATCCGCGTCAAGAGAAAGGGGGACGCAGTGCAGAAGGATGACTGAGCCAAGCAGGTCCAGCGCTGACACGGAGTCCCAAGATGACGATGTAGGCGTGCACGTGGGCGCCGCGGAGGAAGGCCGCGTCCCTTCTCCACCAGCCGCTCCAAGCAGCCTGGGCAGCTCAGGCACCTCAAGCTCCATCGTGCAGCCCCTCGTGCAGTCGAAGGCCGGCGTGGTCTTCTCGTCCCTCTATGCCATCAACTTGATCATGTTCGGCGCCACCTTTAAGTTTGCCGAGATCCTGAATCCCAACCATTCCGTGACCCATGCCGAAATGTACATCTTTCTGAGCATCATCGTGACCATTTCCATCCTGTACATGGTTGGCTTTGTGCTCCACATGCGCCGTGTTGACACAAGCAGCATTCCGATGGACCACCACGCTGGAGCCAAGTGGTTAAAAGGTAACCAACTCCGCACTTGCGTCATAAATCATGATGTATATTTGGATGCATGTTTTCATTGCTGTTGTCAGCCTGTAACTTCCAACTGATGGACAAAGGTCTCCCCCACTTTATTCCATTCCTTCCTTTCCTTAGTTGTTTTTGTCCAGTAAGGAATTCATAACTTTGTGATTTAACCTCGTTGTCATTTATTATGATACCTTCCTTTGGCTTCTTTGGCCTTCTCTGGGTCTCCAATCAGTAGTTAATTTTGTTCATCCCTCATCAGATGTGTTCATCCCGTGTCCTGCCAATTTCCACTGAATTAATTTTACTTTAGCAATGGTGACCCCTGTAATTGTCCTTATTTCTTAACCTATATATACGACTTACTCCTAAAATGCATTTTCCATAGATCGTTGGCAAACGTGTGGCCTTTTTTTAACCATAATTACTTTAAATAGAGCAGCATGAGATGACTACCGTGCCTGTGTCCCAACAGGTGGCCTGGCCTTATTTGCGCTGGCAACGGTCATTCTGGATGCGTTCCGCATTGGGTACTACACTGGCATGACACACTGCGAGTCTGTGGCCTTGGCCATATTCCCCGTCCTACAAGCCATATTCAGCATCATTTTGGTGAGAATACAATCTTCCCGTCATCACAAGTGTCAACATTTCATACAGATTAGGAAACACGGACTCAAAATCTATCATTCAAAATCTGAAACGATAGTGAAGTACTGTATGTGCATCTCATGCCCATTTACAGGCTGGTGATATGTACACCTTGTGCTGTGTAAGAACAATCATCACTGGAGTTCCCTAGGGTCGACTGCCATATGGCGATACAATGGTTGAGTTTAGATGTGATTTAAAGCACTTTGAGACACTTAAGCGTTTAAACACCCAGCTCCTGAAGAAATTCCCAGCACACGGAGCAAAACTTTGGACATCATGCCAAACAACACACGGTACAACCCAAAAACACTTTGGAGAGTGAATCAGCACAACCGTGTAAACCTGCACAGAAGCATTATCCCTACATATAATACACAAGCACTAAACTTGTGGATCTGCTGATGACACGACCCTAAGTACAGCTGATACAGCTTTGCCCAGCCTGTCAGGCTTGATAAAGGGATGCGAGGATAACCAGGTAGCTATCATACAAATCTACTGCAGGGAAACGTGGACGAACATCACTCATGATGTGGCCACAGCCCTGGTGGAGTAGGCCCGAAACAAATCAGGCGCCGTGTGCACTTTCACTTTGTGATAGAAATTAACGCACTCCATAATAAAGAATGCAATCCTGGTCTTTAATGCAATTTTTTCCAGGTGTTGCTGATGGTAAAGCATGGACAGGTGATCGGACTTCCAGTAGAAATTTGGAATAAGATTTCTGGTTTTTATTTTTGACTGCTGTAAGGTTAGCATTCGCTGTATGTGTGGTCGTGTATGTGGTCCAGATTAGCATGACATTATTTTTTACATGAATTTAGATGTAAATATTTTTGTTACAAAAAGTACATTTTAATTAGTTGTTTTTCTCCTTTTCTCAATGCTAGGTGTTACTACTTTGGGTTTATGGAAAATACTGTGTCCGAGAATGGCAGACTCTGGAAAGGTAATTTACTCAGCGGTTCTAATAACACAACATGATGAATAAGCAATCAATGCAAAATTTATGTCAATTAGCAATTAAGCATTTTTCACGTGTATAAGAATATTTGTCTGTAATTATTGCATCAATGTTTAAAGTTGCACAATGGAACGCATTTCGGAATAACAAACATAAGAGGACACATGAAATGGATGGTCAAATGATTGTTACCTGGCTCTGGTTGTGATGTTTTTCACATTTCTTTCTTCTGTTTTGTAGACTTGGCATGATGCACACTTTAGCAACGAGTATTTTAATATGGTTTAACACCGTTATTGAAGAATCTATAAAAGTTATCAAGGAGATAGATCATGCAACTGAAGTGCTACCTTCAAATGGTACGTAATTATATTGCTCACATTTAATATGAAATCACAAAAATGTTTTTTATACTTCATGCTCAGATAAAATCAATTGATTTAATGCAGTTCTGCATTTAAAACACACCCACACAGACATATCGTAATATAACATCAGACAATCTCACGTGCAATTTTTAAAAAAAATCTTCTTTGTTTTCCGTATGTACAAGTAAATATGGCACCAAATTAGGGGCAGGGGGCATATCACCCTCAGACTTAGCAGACTACAGATGAAGGATTAATGATGATGAACATGACAAACAGCATCTCACGATTTCAACCAGTGCACTTTGCACATTATTTTATTTTTATTATGTTTGTTTACCCAGGAAAACCTCACTGAGTCTCATGATTTTTCCTTTTTATAAGGGGGTCTGCCCACGTTTCGCAGTAGGGGGCGATGGTTGCTATCTCTAGTTGCGGGTAATTTTTTTTCAATTTGGACCCTGACCCTGGCACACGATGGCATAGTGTAATGGAATATTTAACGTCCAATGTGAAGCAGACAGCTCAGAGTGATCATATGGTTAATACACCCGCAGTAATAACCAGGGCAGCTGCTGGATTTGAACCGTAAAACTTTTGCCAGAACTGGAAAACGCCACCACTAGGCCAGTGTTCTTCACTAATTTTTAGAAGAGGGCCACTTTCGCCATCAGTGTGAGGGCCGTCACGCATTTGAAACCATTGGGGTTTGACAGCACGATCGAGGTGTTTTCACATTTGTGTATTGTCAGGAGCCGCACATTAGGGATCGCACTAAAGGCCACCAAAGGCCACCAGTGGTCCATGGGCCTTGCAATGAAGAACACTGCGTGAGGCCTTGTCACCGCCCAGTGAAGAAGCTACCTCGTGTACTATTCCATGACCACAGCGCCCCCACACACAAGAGACCGTTGGTTTTTTTTCTCTACCGCACATCTGCTTCATTGTTCTAGCCCCACTCACATACCCCTTAAGCTCCCCTACTTCTCCGCCCTCCCCCCGTTGCGACATCATTTAGTCCCAGCTACTTGACAAATGGTTGCACTGCCCATGTGTACACGCATCATCTCAGCAGTGTCCCAAATAGTTTCCTGTGCACAAGTATCTCTTGGTAGATTGATGTATATGATGACAGCAGTCTGACAATACAATGGCTGTGTACCCTAGATATGTATTATTGAGTTTGCGCTGTTTTTTGATCTCATGATGTAAAGTAATTCCTTGGGTATTCTCAGGCAATCGCCCTATGTTCATCATGGGGTTGGTCGTAGCAAAATCATCAGTTCGCGTACCAATCAAGTCATAACATCGGATCTGTTTAGTTATAACCCTACCATCTCCATTGTTACCTCTACCATTCATTGACCAATCTTGAATTTGGAGCTTTTGTGACTGCTCAACAATTACCGTTAAAGGGCCCCATAACTGTTTGTAATACTTTAGCATTACTCTATGTAAATTCTATCTCAACAAAGGTGTTTGCAGTGAATTAACTTATCACAGACCACTGTCTTGACTTCCTCTGTCTGACTGAGGCCTGGCATAGGCCTCTTTACTATTTTTAACTGAACGAGGTGACTCCATCTGGTTTCTCTTTTTGCGAGAAACCACGGTCATTAGGTAGGGGGGGGGGGGCTGGCTTTATTTAATGCAAATTTTGCAATTGTAAAACCTGGCCCATTGCCAACGTTCCAGTCATTTGAGCACCTGGCATTAGATTCGAGGCCAATTTGTACCCAGCCGGCATTGTTAATATTGCTCTATCACCCTTCAAAGTTAATTTTGAAAATTCCTTTCAGAGTTTTCGGATTATCTGTCGTCGGTGTGTGCTCGTTCTCAACGGATTCTCATAATTGGTGACTTTAATGTTCATGTTCATACACCATCCAAACCTCATGTCAGGTACTTTTTGGCCATCCTTGACTCTTGGTTTCACCCAGCATGTCAAACAGTCAACACAGTCAGGTGAACATACTTTAAATTAGTTTTTTTCTCTTGGGCTTTCACTATCTGAACTGACTGTGATCCAGGAATCTCAGACCACTCTTTGGTCTTCTTTGATATATCCCTGCCCCTCCCGGTCCTTCTATTAAATAGCACATTTCATTTATCAAAATTACATCTATCACCCTGCCTCTCTCACAGATTTACAATTATATAACTGTGTTCTATCAGAGATCCTGGATTATTTGGCTACCCTCCGAACCTGTTGGATATCTTCCCATCACCCTTTGCCATGGTACACTGCAGAATTGAGGGTGGAAAAATATGTCTGTAAAGCAGAACGTGCTTGGAGAAAGTCCGACCTTACCATTCATCATAAAATATTTAAAGAATAGCTTTTTACTTAGCATAACAATATTACCTTGGCAAAATTCTCCTACATTGCTGGTCGCATTGCAAATAGTGATAACAATCCTCGGACCTTCTCTTCCTATATCAGTTAACTATTGAAAAAGGATCTAAAGGCAATCTCCACTCCTGTGCTGATTTCTGTACTAAAATTCAAGAGTTTTTTCACGATAAAGTTTCCATTATCCGGTCCAAATTACTGCCTATTCCCTCTGTTCCCTCTCTTTCCTACTTGCCTCCGGCTCAGTTTGAGGACATATTGTTGACCGAGTTTTCTGCAATTTCAACTACACAACTCATTTCTTTATTTGCTGTCTCTCGACCTACCAGCTGTCTACTGGATCCCTTCCCTTCAAGGGTATTAAAGAACAATTCCGTGATATTGAGGCCGTTTATCCTCAGTCTTCTCAACAGGTCTCTCAATACCAGCACAGTTCCTGACATTTTAAAGATGGCTGCGGTCACCCCACTTTAACACAAATTCAGATCTTGATCCCAAGCTTCCGGAAAATGTTTGCCTAATATCTAACCTTCCGTATTTGTCTACACTTCTGGAACGATTTGTGGTCACTCGTTTACATCAGCACCCGGCCTCAAACGATCTATTTGGCCACTTTCATTCAGGGTTTGGACCTGCACATAGCACCAAAACTGCTCTGGTAAGGGTGGTCAATCATTATTTAAGTTTGTCAGTAGATGAAGGGTTTGTCAACCTCCTCATTCTGCTAGATCTAAGCCCGACATTTGACTTCATTGATCACGGGGTTCTCCTTTAGCGACTGTAAGTTTCAATGGGGATCTCTGGCATAGTTTTGTTGTGGTTCCACGCTCACTAAAATAAACATAGGTACTTCATCACAAAGGGTGGCTTCAAGTCACCAATTACACCGGTTCTCTGCGATGTTCCGCAGGGATCTGTGCTTGGCCCATCACTTTTTAGCATCTTCATGGCACCACTCGGTATTCTGCTCTGACGTCTTGGCTTATCCAAGCATTGCTATGCAGATGACACTCAAATTTATATCCAGTTAGGCCCAGACTATGCAACATCTTTTTTCTGCGCTAGCTGCATCACTAACAGTAGTGAATTTATGGTTGCACCAAAAGTTTTGCTACCCAATGCCGACAAGACCGAAGCCATATTAATTGGCTCCCCTCTGCATCTTTCTAAAATTGGTTCACCTTGTTTGTTGATTCATGGTTACGATGTCTGCCCCACACGGGAGGTCAGACACCTTGGTGTTCAGTTTGACCAGTAATTAACCTTTGAGGCAAATATAAATAAGGTGGTTAAAATTTACTTTTCCATCTAATATATAATACCAGAATGCATCGCGTCCTGTCACCTGCTAACCTAGAGAGGCTGATCCATGCTTTTCCCTTATCCTGACTGATTACTGCAACGCCTTACTGGCTGGGATTCCGAGTAAAGTACTGGGCAGACCCCAGCTTGTTCAGAATGCAACTGCTAGAGTGCTTACAGGTACACCACTACGTGAGCACATTACACCAGTCCTCTTATCTCTTCGTTGGCTACCAGTCAAATTCCGAGTGGATTTTAAGATAATGCTATTCACCTTTAAGGCTTTAAGAGGGCTCACCCTATATTATTTTAGGAACTAATCCATTTATATATTCCATCATTATCTTTAAGATATTTTGATCTCCAACTGCTCAGCACTCCCAGGTCTTGGTTGCGCTGTTTTGGTCATCGGGATTTTGTTAGCATGGCACTCAAACTATGGAATGCCTTGCCACTTGAAATCAGGCAGAGTCGGTCGACATATTTAAGTCTGCTTGGAAAACCCATCTCTTTAAACTGGCCTTCCATCTTTAGTTTGGTCGGTTGCCCTGGTTCTGTTTTTGTGTCCTGCTGTTTATGCATTGCGTATTGGGATCCTTGGACAGAATGCACAATATAAATTTGAATTATTGTTATTTTTACCAGCATGAAAGGATAAACAATTTAATAGTATATCGTTGGTTATTAAAAAACACAATGAAAATAACACATATAATATGGCCTGGGGTGGTTGTGGAGTGGTTTTTGCATGCTGTATTATGAACCTGGCAACCTGAATTTATTCCTGACCACAACTTAAGTGGTGAGGAATATCTAAACCTGTGTGTGGCACTCCTCCTTCACAAACCTGCAGACCAGACATGGTGAAGTATGGTCTAACAGCTGCCATCCCATGGGTAATGGAAGGCATGAAAGTTGCTCGTACATTTCTGTGAAAATATAATAATATTCGTAAAATTGGTCTATGGATGTGAAGTGGTGGTGAAGTGGTTACCGCACTGCGCTCTAAATCCATTACCCTCAACTCCAATTAGATTTTCGACCGTCAGTGACGAGGGACATCTGAACCAGTCCTGAGCTTTTCCTTCACTAAGCCACACTGGCCAGCAGAGTGAAGTATGGTCAAACAACCTGCATGCCCGACAGTGTGGGGGAGGCCTCTATCAGTAGTGAATTGACGAAGGGCTGTAAATCATTTGTATTATTATTACTATTATTATACTCAAATATCGTCATGGTACATATTTATTTTCACAGATCTAAAATGTGTTCTAAAACATTGTTTTTGTATTTACAGTAACATACAACGAAACGGGATGCACATGTGAGATGAACTTCTGCCAGATGTTCTATGACAGCGTGCTATTTCTGGATCCTTTCAACATTGAATTCAGCCTCTTTTCCTCTGCCATGCTGTACGTGATGTGGAAGAACGTGGGTCGGACAGACGCTCACAGTGTGTGTGAACCACACGTAAAGCCCAAGATGCGAATGGACAATGTGCTGTTGGGACCCATCTTTGGAATAGTTGTTTTGGCATCAACGCTTGTTGTTCTGGTCACAGTTGAAGTGCAAGTCAGGACTCCTGCAACTAAAGGACAGGCACTCTCAATGTATTACCTATATGGCGTAGTAATTTACTCATCTATGGCAATCTGTGCTGTTGCAGGATTAGTAATATACAAGTTAGGAAACAGTGGTTTGAGGAATGATAAAAATGTAGTGAGAAACCTCGATGTCCTCCTGCTCATTGGCTCATCAATTGGACTTTTTACTTCTGCCTACTTCTCCGTCATTGCCGCAGGGTTTAGCTTGAATCCTGAAACGAATTTCCCTGCATTGGTAATGGCAGCTGCATTGTGCAAAATCGTTGAACTCATTTCTCAGAATCTCTTTATAATCGAAGGGCTTCACCGTATTCCGAGGACCGTGTTGGTGCACGACCAGAGAAGCAGCCCCACTCAGCGCATATCTATAGAGGCTGACAACGGGGCATTTGAAAGTGACAGTCCGTCAGTGTTCACGCCAGTTTCTCAGCGCAAGCTCCATCTGAATGCACCCAATTTCAGAGCAGCGCAAGACGCAGAGATATTCAGCAATACACTGCCATCCACACCAAAATGTTTGAACAATTTTGATGGCATCGGCGATGCATTTGAGGTGGGAAACTCTTCTCGGGAAGCAACAGAGATAGCAATTTCCCCCATGTCACAGCACAGACTGCAGTTTCAAATGAGCGAAGATTTAAATGACGTCGTGAGCAACTCTTTAAAAGAAAGGAGTGAATGTGTTACCCAAGCAGAGAGCATTGGCAGCTTGACAACAGACAGCTCCAACAGGTCTTCAAGAACTGCAAGGCCACCGTTGGATGCCAAAACATACATAATTAAAAACTTCACCATCTATTTGTTGCTATGCAACATGTCGGTAAGTCATATGATGTGGATAATTACGCGACTTTCGCTTTGAATCCATGTTTTTAGGATGTAATTTCATTCAATTATGTACTTGATGATTCATAGCATTTCTGCAAAATAGATTTATTTAATTAAAACCACTTATTTTAATGGATCCATGTTAACAAGTAATGCCATTGTTGACTTTGTTGTGTTGAAAGTTGACCAACCGTGTTACTAATAATACTGATGTATTGATAATGAAATCAACACATCGATGTGCCCAGAAAGGATTTTTCTCCATGTGTACATATTGCCTGCGATAACGTTTGGAACAGAAACATGGATACTTACAAAGAATATGGGACAAGACCTGAAGAGTTTTCAAAAAAAGAATGGATAGATGCATGGGCGGTGACACGGCCTAGCCGTGCTACCTAGTGGCTTACCTAGTGGTAGCACGTTTGCCCTTTGATGTAGAGCTTCACGGTTCAAATCCAGCTGCCGTCCTAGTTATTACTGCGGGTGTAATAACCATAAAGATACATGCCGTTTGCTTCAAAGTGAACACTAGAGATCCCTGATGTCATTCACACAAGTAGTTGGAATTATAGATAGCAACGATCGCAGACTGGCTTGGGCAGGATACATGGCTGGGGATGGAATGGTAGCCAAAAGGGAACACGCTTGAATGCATGACCACCACAGAGATGTCGTGATGAAATTAGCTTACGTGCAGGAAAGAGATGAATTATGAACGATTATGATGTGACTAATGTTGTCATTTTTTCTTTCCCTACTTCAACCCCTTGTCGTTATCTACCCCCCTCCCTTTCCCCTCCAGCTGTGGATCATAACAGCCTTCGGTGAACGGCTGCACCTCATTAATAATATAGGGGACCAGTTTTATGGATTCTCAGCGTGGGTAGTCGCCATTAATTTTTCCATCCCGCTTGGAGTCTTCTATCGCATGCATTCAGTGGCCAGCCTCTTTGAGGTGTTCTGCACCACTTAAGAGGGCCCCAGGTGCCTCGAAGCACAGCTGCAAGCCGTGCTCCCCAGTACGCCACACGTGATTATGCAAACATCTCCAGAGATTTTGCACACGCAGGATTTTAGGAGCTTATATATTTTGTGTATATGAGAGTATTATACCCTCGCAGGGTGATGCGTATGGGCATTTAAAGCAGAATGTGGGGCCCTGCCAAGCATGTGTCATGGGTTTATAACATTTTGGTGCATATTCTGTGATATTGTAATACAGTAGAATATGAATACGCACACACCCTAAAACTAAACTATTTTATTTACCAGGTAAAGCCCACTGAGCTATGAGCTCTTTTTCAGAAGCGACCTAGCCACAAATAATAACTCACCTAAGTAGCTTATCTTGTGGAAATGTATAGCAGCCAAATACTCTAAATGCGTGTTTCTAAATGTGGAGAAAAAAAACGGAGGACCCGGAGAAACATCCACGCGACCATGGGGAGAACATGCAAATATACAGGCCTCGGGGTCGGGATCGAACCTACGACCTCCTGCATACCAGGCGACGGAGATAACATCTTGGCACCACGGCCAGGTGTGCTTATATCCCGAGTGTGATTTAACAGAAGTTAAAAAAAATTAACCCGTAAAAACAAAGTTTTTCACTATAAATCCTTTATATGCGTGGCGGCTAGAGTCCTCTCGTCCTCTGGCTTGAGATGGCTGCCACTTATGAGTCAGATGATTGCCTGCCACCATTAAGCAATTGGTAATTAAAAATAAAAAAAATCATAAAAAGTATAAAATTTTGCACATTTTTTTTTACGAAAATTAATTGTCACGCACAACGAGTCTGTGTGCAAAATGTCAGCTCGATTGGATCACGGGAAGTGGGTTAAAAAACGACCGAAAGATTTGCACGGTCGTAAGCAAGCAAGCACGCAAGCAAGCAAGCGAACTTAATATAAAGGATTTAATGAAAGTGATTTCCAGCTCAACAATGTGGTGGTGCTCGTCTCCTGTTTGCAGCCTTGAGCTAGTGGTGCAAATTCCACATTCCTTTGGTGGGGGGGGGGGGGGGGAGGGACCAACACTGTTAACTTTCCCAAAAAGTGATAGTTATTGTATTGGCCACAGAGGGATGATGGGTTGAGTCAACTCCTCAGTCAGGATATGAAATGCGCCAACTTCCGATTGTGATCTGCTCACTTTACCACCTGAGTTACCTGGCCGGTTTGCCTCTCCTCCCCACCCACCATGAGTGTATTATAAGCATGTGTTGCTTATAATAGAACTGTGCTTATATACAGTGTGTTTATGTCCAGCTATTAATGTCATGTCATTGGCATATACAACATGCTAAACCCTTCTCTTGCATAGAAATATGTTTTGAAAATAAATACTGTATATACGTCATGAATACACTCAAATAAATAAAAAATGTTTTTATTATAGTCAAATTATTGACCAAACATTTTAAATGTTAGAATTTTGTAAGTGTGTGTGGGGTAATTTTTGCATTTAAAACGGTGGTAGTTATGGGGATTGTAAGGTGGTAAATGTTATCATAAAATAATTGTAAATATTAAATATTGTACATTTCTATACTGGCTTCTCTAAAAGCAAAATATACCAAAGGGCTACTAACAATTGCATATCCTCATATTTAAAATATATTGTTTACTATATTTACATTCAGAATGTGAATTTTTTTTTAATTAAATGAATTGAATAAGTGACATCTTCGAAGGACACTTATACTGTAATTGAATTATAGTCGTCATGGTAATGGACTAATGGTTCACTGATGACAGATTTACACAATTTAGAAGTGAACACCATGTTCCTTATCAAATGAAGAAAATTATGCTGGTTCATTTGACAACGCTGGGTGTATTTACACTCTGGATGTTTCGTGTATTTACTTTGGTTGAATTTTGAGTAATAGACGTGCATTTAAATGCCAATAAAATGTGCTTTAAAATCATGTCTCTTGTTCCAATTAATGATGTATATTAAACATTGTCTAAATGGGCACGCAACAGTCTGAAATTAACTAGATATTCATTCAAATGTATCGATACAACTTATGACGTGCAAAACAGTGAGCTCAAAGATATCATCAACTGAAGCCAAGGTTATGTCAGGCCATAGACAACGAAATGTATACTTCATTCTAATTTAGAAATGTTAAATTACAGTTGCTTGGATAATACATGCTGACTGAATATCTGAGCAGTGAATGCTGATGGACTCATGGCTGATGTGTGAAGGGTGACATGAAGATAATTATATAGGCGAGAAAGATTACATGTCAGGCTTTCAGGAAGTAAATTTTTTCCCTTTGCAGTTCAGGTTATATTTAGAGAAACTGCACTAAATTTAGAAGCTCCCTCATTCTGCATCCCTTTCCCATGCAAATACTTATGTTGCTTTTAATCCAGCAATATGGCCCTTTGCTCTTGCATGCTTGCATCACTATACAACAAAGGGCATGAAATTACAGCACTAAGTGTGTTGGGCATGGCAGGGACTATTGTATCAAATGGTAATGCTCAAGCTAAGAATAGTCCCAGGAAGATGTCAACATCCCTGGCTCTCTTCGGATTAAACCCGTGCAAGAGCTTGTCAAGTTATATAGTTCATCTTTCTGTCCTGTGCAAGATAATGAAGCCATATTCAAATGCAGTAAATGTTACTGCAAATCGTAATGAGCAACGTTTTTGGAATCCTGTCCCCCATTTTCTGTATCGTCAAAAATTTTGGCGAATAATGATTTTTGCTGACATCACAACCTCCAGTCTTAAAAAAAAAATCCCCAAAATTCCATGAATAGTTTTATATAGCGTTCATGAAAATTGCATCTCACAATTTCTGATGAACCACAGACAAAGCTGGAAGGGCGGCAGGCGGTGAGCCGGGAATCAGCAATTTCTCCGCAGTTCTCTATATATCAATATTTTCAGCCATTGGTGAATGTTTATACATGTTGGGGGGACACCTGAAAAATCCAGAGAAAACCCACGCACGTGAGGGGGCAACACTCTATCCCATATAGAAGAGACAGATGACATCAGTCAACATTTTGTTGTACTGAATGCCACTAGCAAGCGAGGGTATGGCGCATTGGTGCCCACGGAAACGGAGTTTCGTGGCATTTTGTCATTTGTCCGATCTACCAACCCCCCAAAGTGCTGGATTACAGGCGTACCCTCTAATTGTCATAGTGCGCAGACATTCAAAATTCCACTGCTGGATGAAGGCCTTCCAATGCCTTTCATCACCACGTTGGTCAGTGTGGGTGGGTTTAAGGGGGGTAGCTAGGACTGATTTAGATATCACTCGCTACTGATGGCAGCCACGGCTGAGAATCAATCTCACATTACCTGGGTTCAGAACACAATGTGCAAACCATTTTACCACCACTACACCCATTCATCTACCGTACCTGCTTTTACATTATATTATGTCATGTCACCTCCACTTTCAACAAGAGACGTGTAATCTCAGTGGGCACTCGTGACATTCACTGTCGTACTTCCTCTGTGCAAGTGTATTACCGGGTCGGTCGGCGTACAAAGCGTCTATGTGTTCTTTATTCTCACATGTCTCATCTTCCTCCACTACTCTCCAGTCAATGAACACTCGCCTGCTTAACACGAACAAAAACAGTCGGTCTCTCTGTCTTTGATGTGTGCAGTAGCACACAACACAAACACATAGAGCAGGTATATTATCTCGAACCGATTCTCATTAGTCATCATTCCAAGCGCGCATCATCTTCATCATGCTCTATCCACTGCTGCATGAATATCAAGATGCTGTCTGTAACTTGAATATGTTCTCTCATACGTGTGTTTATCGTTCTATTTCTAAATATAATACTAAGCGTACACTTCTCCATGATCCTTGTAAAATGTATATTGTATCCACACTTGCCACTTCATTTGTGTCCATATTTCTTATTCATATGTCAAAGCAGATAATATGCGTCCATAAGAACTATACGATACTCTCTGTGTACAAACGCGTGTTGGAAAGTGTTATCGAAACCTTGCGTATTCATGATTATTTTTTTTCTTCTTCGCGTCATTTCCAACAACAAATGTAAGAAACGTCTTTCACACATCTCCGAGAAACGTATATGTTAACATCACGCTATTCCGATAATGCAAGTTCCTTTTGAAACTTCGACAAGTTTTATTGTTCACACAGAAATTCGTAGTGTGTCTCCACGTCAAGTACAAAAATGTTCAGTTCATCTGCTTCTTGGATTTCCAGACAAATATGCAGCTGCATTTGTTTAATTAAGCAAACCGTAAGTCACACTTGTAAAAAAAATGCTGCTGGCTTGCTTAACAATAATATGGAACGTTGGTCTGCAAAGTCTGATGGACTAAATCCATATTTTATATTGATGTGGAGATGGCACAACGAACTTCTTCTGCTGTATCCAAATGTTTTCATGAAATTACCTAAATATGTTGCTGGGCACGAGCGTGTTTAACACGTGGCAGGCTTTCGCGACCAATATTATCCATAATCGAGGTTTTTGGGGTTAGATAACGTAAATATAAATGTGTTGTTAAACCTGCTGCCACAACGCTGGCTGTCGCCTGATGATGCTGGTTGTAATTACCGGCGAAACTTCATAGTGCTCGAATTGTACATGTTGTGGGTTTACTCTCCAACGCACAACCGGTGTGCTGAATTTGTAACGAATTGGCATGTTTTGTTCACGTGACAAACTTTAAGAATTGGGCTGTATCGGGTTGGTGGCAGGTTTAACGAAACATGTATATTTACGCGATATAACCCAAAACAAAGCATTAATTATGGCACGAGTGTGTTTTTTTTTATTTGAGTCAAAAGAGGGCGCCAGCTGAGAGGGTTGTGAATCGAGCTGCAACGGGGCGCCTCTCGATAGCCCGCGGGTGCATTTTACAGAGACCACAGTGCAAAAAACTCTACAAAGCCATTAAAATGTAGAGGAAAGCTAGCGTACCTTAATGCCAGGAGAATGAAAATAGCACACACGCACGCACGCACCAGTGATAGAGTTATACGGCTATTGTGGACCGAAATGTATGCTACTCTATAGGACCTAATTGTTTTTTTCCCCACGTTAATTGTAAAATATACGCGTGTATTTATACGCAGCTCGTCTTAAATATGTACAACATTTTACATATGTATGTAAAGCGGTCTGTATTTACAACATCTCGAGGTTCAATGTTAGTTGTGATATATATTCTCATTAATTAAATGTGAGCGTTATCTCGGGGGGGGGGGGGGGGACGACGACACGTCAGACAATCGTCTCAATGCTATTAGCGTTCTTGTTCTATTAAAATTGCGGCTTTAACAATGCTCGGTCTCTTGGCGCATTACAAAAAACACTAAGTCAGCAATTCAAGTGTTCACCGTAATAACAATAATATTAACCCCTCTAAAGGGGAGAGTTTATCCGGATTAATCGATTGAATCCGGTTATAAAATCAGTTGAGGAAAAGCAACAATGATACAAGTTGCAGTCGTCTTAACTGTCTAATACAACAGAGAGACAAGCGCCATCGGGAATGTGCAGCGTGCAAGCTGTGCCAACAAAGACGGGAGTGTGTGTGTGTTTAATTCGTTTCATGTCTGGGAGAGGGTAGTGGTGTTTTGGGGATGGGGAGGGGGGTACGGGGTGCATTGTTTCGCTCCCAACCCCGCGTCTCCCCCGACACCTCCTCCAGCACCCCCCTCTCTCGGCAGGCCACCGTGGTGATGTACGTGACGCGCGCGAACCCGCGCACTCTGCGCTCTGCCGAGCCGTGAGAGCGCGGTTCGCTCCGGGACCGCGGCCACCGACCCGAGCCCCCCCCCCCCCGCGCCGTGTCGGGGATGTGGGGCACCCTCGCTCGCAGGCACACGGAGAGGGGCGCAAGGACGGCACCGACGCGCCCCCTGGGACCATGAGTGAGCCCACCCCGCTGGGCGCCGTGACACTGGGGCGCCTCGATCGCCGCTCGTGGGGGTGGTGCTGCTGATGTTGATGGTGGTGGTGGCGATGATGGAGGAGAAGGGTTTCAAGGCAGAGCCGGCGTGCGCGGCAGGTAACGAGGATGAAAATGACACTCGGAGGGCTATGCTGAACCTCACGGCGGATGAAGTCGTAGGATGCGAACCCGGGAAAGGCTTAAGTTTTAGAATCCTAGCCGGGTGCCTGCTTTCCCTCCTCATCCTCTCCACGCTCTTCGGGAACACGCTCGTGTGTGCCGCCGTCATCAAATTCCGGCACCTGCGCTCCAAAGTCACCAACTACTTTGTGATCTCTCTGGCAGTCTCGGACCTCTTCGTGGCCCTGCTGGTGATGCCGTGGAAGGCGATCACCGAGGTGGCGGGATTCTGGCCCTTCGGAGCCTTCTGCAATGTGTGGGTGGCATTCGACATCATGTGCTCCACTGCCTCCATCCTCAACCTGTGCGTGATCAGCGTGGACCGCTACTGGGCGATCTCCAGCCCGTTCCGCTACGAGCGCAAGATGACCCAGCGGGTGGCCTTCGTGATGATCAGCGTGGCGTGGACACTGTCCGTGCTCATCTCCTTCATCCCGGTGCAGCTTAACTGGCACAAAGCTCAGCACGTGCAGCAGACGTGGGAGTTCCACAACGCCAGTGACGGTGGCGACGTGGACGCGAACGTGCCCGAGAACTGCGACTCGAGCCTCAACCGCACCTACGCCATCTCGTCGTCCCTCATCAGCTTTTACATCCCAGTGGCAATCATGATCGTCACCTACACCAAGATATACCGCATCGCGCAGAGGCAAATCCGCCGCATTGCCTCACTGGAGAGGGCCGCCGAGCACGCTCACAATTGCCAACTCAATCCGAACGACTGCCCCAACGAGATGTCGTTCAAGACGTCCTTCAAGAAGGAGACCAAGGTGCTGAAGACGCTCTCGGTCATCATGGGAGTGTTTGTGTTCTGCTGGCTCCCGTTTTTCATCCTGAACTGCGTGGTGCCCTTCTGCGACAGCGCAGGAGTCGAGGGGGATGACGAGCAACAGCAGCAGCAGCAGCACCCGCTGTGCGTGAGCGAGACCACGTTCAGTATCTTCGTATGGTTCGGCTGGGCCAACTCGTCTCTGAACCCCATCATATACGCCTTCAACGCCGACTTTCGCAAAGCCTTCTCTACCCTGCTTGGGTGCAACACGCTGTGCGCCAGCACGCCGGTCGAGACGGTGAACCTGAGCAACGAGGTCGCCTCCTACCCCCACGACGTGACGAGCAACCACAAGGACGGCGGCGCCAACTACGTGCAGTTCATCCCGCACGTGGTCATCGTCAACGACGATAGCGACGGCGACTTCGACAAAGTTCCCGAGGAGTCGCGGAGCATGCGGGAGGACAGGTCCGGCATCGACCACCGGCTGGACTGCGATGAAGACGTGAGTCTCGAGACCATCACACCCTTCACTCCCAACGGGGTGCACGAAACGTAGCTCGGACGCAAGCTTGAGCAGAGTGAACAAAACAAGAACTCCCGTGGAACATTTCACACGAAGGATAAGACTGCCTTAGGATCGCTTGACTGAACAAAGAGTCCCTTCAGAATCATTACGTTCTGCTTTTAAGATTGTTGTGTTGAGGAGCTCAAACGTTCAGTGGGGGTGATATGCTGCTGTACTAGTAATATGTCTTTAACAAGAGCCAGTTAAGTGGGACCACTGTAGCCAGAACTTATATTTAAACAGTATTGGTTCATTCACCGATATTCCAGAACTGCTGCTTTGAAAGACGACTTTTATTCAGATATTGTGAACAGTATTGATTCATAACGTCATTATGAAAGTATTAACGCGTTATGAGACGTTAAAAACAAACTTTTTTGAAACAGACATTAACTTTTGTTGTTTTGCTTAAGGTAACAAAAGAAGTTTAGCACTGCCACGCTAAAAGAATATAGCTGTATTCATGAACATATTAGGACAGTGGTTGGATATTTAGAATGTCTTTAGTCAAACTAGAAATAAATAAATACAGTAATGCACTTTCATGATGCCCTGTTTCAGTACCCTGGACAGCTCCATTTGAGTGTTTCACCCCGTTGAGTAGCATTTAATTTATGTGCCTGATCATGCTACAAGTGCAGTGGTTCACTTTATTAACCCAACAGCAGAAACCATTTGCTGTGAAATATTGCTGTCAACCATTGTAATTTTAGAATTGGCAATAAATTTTAATTTATTTTGGAATAACCTCTTGCCCTGTGTTTATTCTCTTTTTCTCTCTTCTTTAACCTGGCTCATATTCTCGGAAATGTATTGAACCATCCTGAAAACACATAACACTAAAAAAAACTTTAATAGTAAAATATACTTTTCCATAATCAACAAATCAATATAGACTTACTTAACTTGCATTATCTGTAGTGTGGTGTCAAATTTGATACTAAATAAGAATATATCTTCCTTTACCATTGATCCACATCTTTAGTTTAATGTGACCATAAAAGTAATATAAACCATGAGGAGTAAAAATATGTTCTGTAAGTAAAGCGTATTTCTTGTTTGTAATAGATTCATAGGATAAGCAAATCCACGAGCATAATAGCATTCCGTATAAGAATAATGTTTGTACATCTGTTGGGATATTGTTCTTATTTTCCTTAGGGTTTGTTCCAATAGTTAACTCAACATTGTTTTTGTGAAAGCAGTCTTTCCAATGTAATTATTCTCCACAAAATGTGTTTTATTTCTTCCTGAATGTATTATCCAGCCAAGCACATGCAATGGAGTTTAATGTATCAAACATTGCATATTGTATATGTCATGAATAAAAATATTTTTTTTATAATACATTCCTAAATTAGGTGACACAATATGTGTCATTTATTGTACAATTTCTGCACCAAATATAAAAAGTCAATCATTTCGCAAAAATGTAACTCATAATGACAATTAGCACCCGATGCAAATTCATGGGCACGAAGTGCAATGTTTGCGCAACATTGAGAACAATTTCTCATTAGCGCCATTGACACACTTTAGGACTTGAATTTTACGTAATAAAAAAAAACGTATCCGCTGTTTAATACGGTTGAATTAATTCCATGGAGAAGTAGGGGGTCCTCATTTAGTCAGCTAAAGATAGTCACTTTTATTATTAACATTTATATATTTAATAATGGCATGGAGGTGCCTGCTAATGGATATGCCCTTGTCCCTTGATGAGATGGGCGGGGCCACATTAGCATCCGAATTACGTACGAAAAGAAAACCACAGAGCTAAGTTATTTGAGCAAAACAAAATTATTATAAAACCAACCTCTGCAGTAAAGTCAGCCACAGTAATTGTTGGACTAGGATGGTGTGAGGAAAATCTGTTTTGTCTGACAATTAGACGACCAATTACTGTGCAGTATGAGGATGACATATTACTGATATTCCAAAAACCTGAAACTTGAAAACTGCAGTCTAATATGATTCAGAGAGCTGAGTTTACAATTTTAGCATTTGGCTCAACGCAATTTATCTAATCATGGCAACATAAAAATGCACTATTTAACATTCACGGATACAATCTAGGATTTTATTCCAATGCCTCTTAATATGATTGGTTCCATTGATGATACATTTGTAAAGGCGAACATTACGTGATTATAACGAAGCTAAAATGAGGAGAACTCGGACAAATGAAAGCTTCCCCCACCTATTGCTTTTACCATGCTTGGAACAGGTTGTGCAGGTTGGTAGGCAAGTGGGAAACATTAGTTTAGATGTTTTAGTTGTTAATTGGTTACTTTATGAGATACTAATTATGTTGTGCCTATGCATAACACACATTGGTAATAATATTTTTAAAAATTGCTATTTTCAGGATAGGCTCGTACATTGTATGCATGAGATCCATTTTGAGCCTCCAAACAATCAAGTAATCAAGCAAATCAACTACCACCAGATGTGTGGCTGTGGCAATTATAGCTCTGAACCTTCATTACACTCAACGCAAGTGGAGAAGGGAGACATGGTCCCTTTTGCATATTTAATACAAATCTCACAATGTATGCCCTGGACGCGGTGATCAATTATCAGTGGAGATTGATATCTCAATGAGTCCTGGACACTGCTCTTCACCAGTAAGCAGTGACCACCTAGGTGAAGTATGGTCAATCAACCTCAACAACCAGCAGTGGAAGGACAAAGGACTAAATAATATACATTTGTTATTATTGTATATGGTAAAGTACATGCATTTTCAAGGGCATTGTTGTACAACACATCGATGCAATCGAACTTTATCTTAACAAAAGTTATTTTACTTAAAAAAATGGCATTCATGCTTATAATTTGTGTCGTTCGTAAACAACCGCCGTTGAGATGTTATTTTTGAATAATTGTTTAGCCGAAGAAACGTAATTGCTTCGTTAGATATGCTGGTGTTGTTCGCTCCATTATGAAACGTAGTTAATTAAAGCAGAATTGGCACATGTTGTTCTCGTGATTACACATTATATCGCACATGTACGTATGTATGTTGAAGTTCTTTTGCACCGTACGTAGCCAACCATGCTAATCGGAGGTGCAGGGGAAGGACAACAAACTAAACACAAAAAATCAGTTCTAAAGAAATTAGTTGTCAACCTAGGTGATTTAAAAGTGCGTAGCTACAGTGGCTTCCTAATATCTGAAGGAAGAGCATTCTGAACGGCCGCAGAAGTGCATCTGAAAGCGCGCAATGCAGTAACCGTTTTTGTTCAGTGGTTAGCCAACAATTTTTTAAGTACTTTTAAAAATTACCTAGATCTTTTTAAATCTAGTTAACAAAAAATAGCAATTGCATGTACAGTATAGTAATACGCAAGCTCTATGAATGGAAGATTAATCAATGAGGCACCTCATTCCACAGTGTCAAGCTGGACACATTCCAAACATATTTATATAGATTCAACAGAATAATATATACAGCTCTATTGAGTACCATTTGTATGCTGGCTCTGTAACATAACTGAGCGAAACAAGACAGAGCATTCAATGTGGTGCCAGGAATGTCCGTGGAGTGCATGGATCTCAAGATTATTGCAGTTTGGTTATTGACATTCAGTTATCACGTACACTGCTGGACCCCTACACTGTGTGGCTCATAGCTCTGGGTTGCACCATTGGTGGAAATTCATCAGCGTTAATGCCTTTTGTCAAGGATTTGAGACAGCAACATGTTTATCTGTAAGCAACACAGCAAGCACGTTCCCTATGGCAAATACAAAATGCCTTAACATTTGGGAACAGCATGGTGGCCTTGTATAAAATTCCATTCCATTTGTTTTTAGATGAAAGGTAATATTTACCATGTAAAACAAAAGTAGAATTTATTTATTTTCACAAGCATGATAAACCAATGAAGATATAACAAAAAAGGCTCGGATATGTCCAAAAAACAATGTTTGCATGCACAACGCAACATCACAATGGGAAAGAAAAATAAAAAAGTGTGTTTTCCTATTGAAATAATTTTGGCTGCACCTATTAATGTTTTTTCCAACAAGCATCAGCATGGTTATACAGGGTGGGATGGAAGAACATATGCCTGACCCTGCATTCATCGTCTACAAAGGTAATGGCGCAGCCCCGCAATCCACTTTTCACGCTGTTAGAATAAGGGCCTCCACTAAAGGGCATAGGTAGATCTGTAGAGATCCACCTATGCTTTTCCCATTATTACAATGAATTTGAAATGTTGACTTGTGAGATTACCTGCTCACACCACTGCTGGTGGAAAGGCCTCCACTAGAGTGAGCTCTAGAGAGCCTTGATAGAAGGCATTTTGGCCGACTCTTCTCTGCTGGCCGGGGGTCTTGGAATAGGTGGAAGTACCCACACTTTTTCTCACGACACATAACCTGCCGTTTTACTAACTGTGGTGTACCCTAAATTTCGATTTAAAGCTTTCGTGACTGCAGGGATTTATCTTCTTGGTTCTTTCGGTAAAGTCACGTGACTTTATCGAAAGAACCAAGAAGATGTGGTGTACCCGTTTATACTGTTGGTGGGTATTCAAGAAACATGCACCATTATTTCAAGTATCATGCCGGGATATGAAACTGACGACCTCTGGATTGTAAGTCCAGTGTAATAACCTTATACCACGGCAGTATCCCACTTTTGAATGTACCATAGTGCAAATATTGCATTACAAATGGTGAAGGGGCATATTGCCAGAGGGTGAACAGCTAGTAGGGCAATAACTCTGGGTCGGTTTCTCGGAGGAGACCTGCAATGTCAGATGTGTGCTGATGCCTTTCTACAAATTGAACTGAGCTCTTTCACACTAAATGTACCCTGATTCCAGCATCCTTGTGGAGAGAGGTGTGGAGCATTCAAGAAACGTTTCCATATTGTTTTCCTGTGGCACACCACAATATTGAACCAGCGACCTCTGCATTGCAAGTCCGGTGCACTGACCATTACACAACAGCAGCCTCTCATAAATCAAGAAAGTGGAATCATATATATTGAGAGGGAGATGGCGAACTGAACCACCACTTTGGGCTTAGAGCTTCTGGTTGCAGCACTTACAAACCTGTGCAGTTTGTGCAAGATCCCAGGAAGCCCAATTAATAAACCTGACATCATCCTGTTTGAGAGTCCCACTGCCAATGTACCAGCCAGCTGTGGTTTCAGCCGCATCACCTCTACATAACAAAGGCTCAGTCCCATTTACAGCAGCCGCACCATTACATCAGCCGCACCTTAACAACTCTTGGAACCTCCCAGTTCAACCAGTCTACACAACAAAGGCTCATTCCTAGCAGCGGCTTTAGCCGCACCAACTTCACAATAATAATTATATCCAGGGGCCTACCTTGGCTCCTCCCACCCTCAACCAATATATATACAAGGACGGTTTTCTTGGAATTGCTCTTACTTGATACAGCAATCGTGCTGTGACGGTTCCACCTGAAGACGGAAGCTTGTGTTGCCTCTGAAACGTCGTGATTTTGTTTAACTTTTATTAATTATATTTTTTTACCTACGTGACTTTACCGAAAAAACCTAAGAATATGACTATAATAGCAATGTTTGTCCTCCTCTCACCATTCAGAGAGCCCCTCTCAGTTTAGAACTGTGAACAATGGGTCGAATCTGCGAGTTTTCACGAAGTTTTTTTTTACTTTTTAGAAAAATGTTTACAGGGGTGGGCATATTGACATCCCATTTTTGCTCACTGGACAAGGAATTTTACCGTTTCAAGAGTGAAATGAGATGAATTTGCTCCTCCTGGGTCAAAATTTAACCGAGAACCCCAGAGTTGCCAAGCCCATTATATCCACACTCAGGAGCA